AATTCGTCAAAAAGGCGCTGGACTGCGCTAGAGTGCGTCGGAGAGCAGTGGAGTGCAACGTACACCACTAGAGTGCGCCGAAATCCGGTCGCATCGTTATATCTCGCTTCAGAATGGACTATTCTAAATCCAAGGGTACTGTTCGATTCAGCTCGGCGAGACGCATCCAGTATGTAAAAGTGCCCCAATCTCTCGGAATACGGCAGGTATATGGGAACAGCAAGTTTTTGCTCTGTTTTGCAGATTTTTGTTTGATTGGAGTCCAGTTTGCTGATAACAATATTGCCATTGATTTGCTGCTGATGGCACATTGTAGGGATATTGTAGGCGTGAGGTACGGTAAAGTGTCACTTTGATCGAATTGTTCTGAAATCAAGGTACTACACCGCTCACAGAATGTGCAAAATTTCCGCGAACGTCGCGAAAGTGTGGAAATTCCGCGGAATTACAGGAATCACGCAAACTAGCAGCGCCAAAACTTCCTTTGAAATAAGTATATTCTGAATCCGGAAGTAGCGTTGTGTTCAGCGATTTCAGTATTCTTGAATCTTTCCGGTAACTCAGCACCTATCCAACGTAAGAGATACCAGTAAGTAATGTTCGATAGTACTGTTCCTGTAGATTATAATGCGCTAAAAAGTGCGTGGACTTCTTTACAAAGGAAAGAGAACAGCTGGTAAATTTTTAAAAAGTCACGTCGTACCAAACTCTACTCGTCCCCTAGAATACGTAGCTATCTTGCTAAGCAAATGTGATTTTCGAAATTAGCAGGTCAGATAACCCCTGTGAGCAAGTTTTCAGAGAACTTCGGGTTATTTGACTTTTCCTCGTTTCACGCAGTGGGGCTCGCCAGTGGGTTTTGGTCGAAATGTTGATGATTTTGGTTTGAGGGAAAACTCCGCTTTGAAGGCCTCCGCTAGAGGCCTTCAAACACGCTCTTTATGAAAATCGTGGTCTCTGTCAAGTACAGGGACTTTTTTGCGGAGATATGGTGAGGTAACTATAATGGAGTCATGAAACTTTGTAACTCCGCCTGCATTTCTCGCGTATCTGTCGAAAAACTTTCCTGCTTGTATTCAAAGGTTGAAGTCAATAGGAACTGTACTATCGAAAGTGCATGCCTCAGGCTCCAATCTGTAACAGTCGTCGAGTTACGAGCCTACGAAAAAACGTCCTCATGGGTTGCGTCCAAAATTTAAAGATCGCATACTTTGTCAAAATCCTGATTGCAACTATTACGTTCACTTCGCTCAAGGCACCCCACCTTATTGAATATGGTGATTGCGTGTGCTTCAATTCTTGATTGAATATCAAAGCAACTTTGTAGCTAGAACTCAGATTCATCCAATTACTAAATATCCAACGCAATAGGATCCATTAAGCGAAGTGTAAAGATTTGACCACCGTGTTACACAAAGACCACGATCTTCGTAAAGAGCGTGTTCAAAAATCTCTGCAAGCGAAGTTTCCTTACAAATCAAGAGCATCAACATTTTGACTAAACTTACTGGCGTGAAACGCGAAAAAACTCCCAGAGCGTGAAACGAGAAAAGAATCAAATAACCCGAAATTTCTAAAAATTTGCTCAAAGAGATTATCTGATCTGCTGATTACGAAACTCATATCTGCTTAGCGAGCCAGCTTCGTATTCTAAGGTTATAACAAGTAGAATTTGGAACGACAAGATTTTTCTACAATTTACCGGCCCTTCTATTTCCTCTGGAAGAATGCCTGCTGCTACTTTTGAAAGCTCCATAATCTGTAGAAGAAGTACTGTCGACAGTCCTTGCTGGAGTCCACTAAGGGCAATGCACGCTACTTTACACCTTTGCAAATAGACGTCTGCAGGAAGATTGAGGATTACCGAAATCGGAAGACAAGCTCTACATCGAAAAATTTGCCTGAACTAGCTGAGCACAATGCTTTCTTCATTCACACAGAATATGGATCTAGAATACAATCATTTCAAAGGAAGAGGGAGAATAGAGTTCATAAAGGCGTGATTTTTACATTAATCATCGACGTTTTACTCTTATAAAAAGAAGTCTGTGGCTACTTTTTAGTGCACGATAATCTACGAGAATAGTACTATCGAATAGTACCTACTGCAAGCTTTTATGTTGGATTGGCGCTGCGCTACGTCCTTGCGAAAGGACCTCCGCAAAAGAATTTGAGAGAACCGGAAACGAATATTGAGGACATGCTGTATTTCAAGATCTGCCTTGACGAGCTGAACACAATGCTGCCTCCAGATTCGGAATATACTCATTTCGAAGGAAGTTATGGTGCTGCCATTTTGCGTGATTCCCGTGACTCCGCGAAATTCCTACACTTCCGCGATGTTCGCGGATTTTGCACATTCTGTGAGCGGTGTAGTACCTTGAGCTGATTTCAGAACAAATTCGATCAAAGTGACTCTTTACCATATCTTACTCCTACAATATCCCTACAATGTGCCATCAGCAGCAAATCAATGGCAATATTGTTATCAGCAAACTGGACTATCCAATCAAGCAAAAATCTGCAAAACTGAGCAAAAACTTGCTGTTCACCATACACCTACCGTACTCCGAGAGATTGGCACTTTTACATACTGCATGATGCGTCTCGCCGAGCTGAATCGAACAGTACCCTTAGATTTGGAATAAACCATTTTGAAGCGAGATATAACGATGCGACCGGATTTCGGCGCACTCTAGTGGTGTACGTTGCACTCCACTGCTCTCCGACGCACTCTAGCGCAGTCCAGCGACTTTTTTGACGAATTATGAGAGTTACGTCCACTTCGCAAACTCTCGACGTGTGACATCATGTCGTGGCAGGACCCAATTGTGCATTTTGTTCTCTTTGATTTGTAGGAAATATGTTTTTAGCGTAAAAGGAGCAACGTTTCTTATAGCTGGGTGCTGGCTTAGAACGATTTGTAAAACAGTGTCTTTTGGAAACTTGTTATCTGAAATTGAGAGCTGAAAAGCTTTCAAGCTTCTCAAGTAGCAGCTTGTAGAAATGTTCTTGAATTATGTCATATCCATCTTACTGCAGTATGGGCCCTTAACCAATTCCTCTTCATTGCTATAGGACTACGTTAGGAACCTTGGCGTGCAGCGTAATTGTGAACAGCCGCCGTTTCAAAAAAGTTCAACAACTTTGGAAATTTTCTGTAGCAACTTTTCACGCATGCTGATTTTACTGCTCAATTATTTGCACGTTTCAAAGCTTTCTAAACGATGTAATCGCATTTCTGAAAAGCAGAGAAGACAGCTGTTACGGTAGATTTGTTTTAAGTCATTAAAGAAACAGTATAAAGAATACAAACTTCACAATCAGATTTCAAATAGCCCAGTGTGAGAATCTGTTGTTGGGTTTGCTTTTAAATTATTAGGTTGGTGCAAAAGTAATGCGCGTTTCTCTACCCTTGTTTCAAAGCAACTTTTTCCATCAACCTTTCTGCTTTGGAAAAATTTAACACATCATTAAAAGCCCTCTTTTTGCTCTATTCGATAATGGTTGAACCGGCTTTTAGCCTCTTTCCTAAAAATTTATAGAGCTTCAAGCAACACTTTTCAGTTCGTAATTCAAGCAGGATTGAAAGCATTCTTTTGAAGATTCAGCTTCTAAATGTAATGGAAACTGTCTACATTACGCATAGTCAGCCACATATTCTGAGATCATCTAAGCTGAAATATGGACACCTTAGCATGAATATTCATTGTACTCATTCTGCGGTTCATGAATTTATACTGAAAAAAAGCAATTGCCGAACTTTGATTATTTCTGAAAGTGTAAAGGTAGAAGCTTCTTTTGACAGTTTTTTGCAGAAATTTTAAGCAGTTCACTGCGCGAGTTGGCACAGGGGGGTAATCGAGCATCACGGGGGTGATCAGCATGCTCGATTACCCCCCTGTGGCAAGTCCCAGCCCCGTAGCTCAAACTTTGCAAAAAATCGATAAAATCGATATTGATCGATGACGAAAAGTGGACTGTGACACCCGCCGGGGCCCGAAGTGTATGTGTACCAAGTTTGGTCCGGATCGGTTAAGAAATGGAATTTTCCATTCGGAACATACGTACACACATACAGACAGACAGACAGACAGACATACAGACAGACAGACAAACAGACATTCAGCTTTATATATAAGATTGTTGAAGAAAGTGAAAATTTTGCTTTTTATATTTTTTTCTACAAATCTTTTTCATAGTCTTTTCCAGCTCTGTTTTATTGACTTACGGCTACAAGTTAGGCTATTTACCATTTTCATTAACAGATTTTGAAGGGAGTTATGACCAGTTGAAAACGAGTCAGGAAAAAACTTTTTTGCTTATTAATCCATATTTTTCTGCCCGTTGGTGATTGGGTATAGGAGAATGTGCGCTGTATTGCAAAGGTTTGCTACCTCGGAAGTTTTTTAATTGCATTGAAAAATATAGATATTTTAAAAAGTTATGGCACGTCAGAATGAGAGCTCGCAATGTGCTCCGTGTAGAAAGGGAAAAGAAGCTCAACAACAATCTTTTAAATTTCTCAAAGCGTAGAAATTATCCGACAATCTAATAAAAAGTTATCAGAAATCAGACGTTCCCTCTTCCTGTTTTTTGGGACACTCTATTCAGATTTGCTCCGATGTTTGCATTTAAAGCTGGTAAGGAGCTTTAACTACGTTTCATGATTGTGCCGAGCGACCTTTGTATTCTCAGAAGTGGAGATTTGTGAGAGTAACTACTATTTAGCAACGGTCTTTTATAAGGCGAGAATTTGAAATTTTAAAAGCCGATTAACCCGCTTGGTAAGAGCTTCTGTGTCGTTATGCAACCGGAGATCTTTATTTGCGGAAGTAAGCTCACATTTTTCGTTGCAAATGGGCAAACTGGGCACACTGTATTAAACCCTAAGCATCTTCTTGACACCTGGAATCGAAATTTAGCATTTGACAAGATGCAAAGATAAATAAGTGTTTTAAAACAGATAGACATTGAACTGAATTTTATCATCATTTCAGCGTTGCGGTACCGGCCAATGCAACCTCCGTGTACCCGGTAAACGAATTTGCCACTGTTGGGCTTGCTATTGATAAATGAGTTTTCAATTACTGCTGTATCACTATAGTTGTATAATAAATTCTACAACAGAGTCACGTTCATGGCAACAGCTTAGAACAGCCGTAAGTGAATAATTATTTATATGTCAAGCGACAACGACATTACATGCAAAGTATGGCCGTTGTCAAAATGATATGCTGTTGGTTCCATTTCTGGGCAAAAGAGTCTTTACGCTCTATACAGGGATACAAAACACTAGACAGAAATCTGTCTGCAGCCTTTGTAAGAGCCGCAGAAGCGACCGAAGCTATTTATCAGTTAATTTTATATGTAGTTGACACCGCTTTGAGTCAGATCAGAGATGGAAAGGGATGCCTTTGATTAAAGAGTTTCAAACGAATATCATTAGTGTTTCGAAACAGTTCAGTTTGATTCTGTTCGTGCACGCTGCAGACCATGGCGCAACTCGAGAGGTGCGAGGGCCGGCGCAATGAGACAGCAGGTACGAATAGTGAGACATTTATCGAATGGATATGAAATTTCTAGCAAGTAGAGATTGCCTTTGTAGTGTAACACTTGCGGTTAGTAAAGTAATCTGCAGCATGGAAGAATGGTATTGAATCACACAAGCAAACATCTGACAAATTCTACTAACACACAAGATTACGAAGCTTTCTAAACGGTGCAACCGCACTTTCTAGGAACATTGAAAAAATGGCTGCTACCTCTTACCTAGCATAACTCTTCAATGGAGCATCATAAAATTGGGAACTTTACAGTTATAATCAGCAACTCTAATTAGCCTAGTGTAAAAGTTTTTAGGCTGTTTTGTTTCCTTTTTGGGGCAAAATATGGCCTTTCATTTCTTAAAACCGTAATGAAGAGAGTGAGTGATTCGTTCTGTAATGCAAATCTAAGTTGAAGCCAGCTCTACAGATTGGTACCTGAAGCAGGAAAAATACTTTTTCAGAAGAGAGAAATTAACGATCAAAAGTTCGATACATTTTTTGGGACACCCTGTATATCAGTCGAGAGCAAAGCAAGCGTGGTAGAGAGATTTTAGACACCTGAAAATCGGATTTTGGTTAAGGAAGATTCTATAAGCCTCCAATTTGCTCAAAAATGTTATTAATCGCACCATTTATTTATTTATGCACTTGATGCATTTCTTCCATTGGTAGAAGTCAAAAAGATAAGGATCGACATGATTTAGCAAAAGAATTGCTATGTTGCTGTGGCATAAGCAGTTCATAAACAGGCAACTGAATTCAGCCCTCCCTCTGCAAACGTTAATTTTAGAGCCAGATCCTAAGTTAAAAGCTAAAAAAATGACTTTGTATTTTCGGCTGGTTTCTATCCCTTAGTTTTGAGTCGCAAAATGCGGCAAATGTACACATATATGTACATCTGATGTAGATAGTATAGGGTGCCCCAAAAACGCGTGCACACTGTGTGATCGTTAATAACTCGCTTGCGTCGATGTCTATCGCCGATCTTTAGGTACCACTCTATAGAGCAAGGTACAACTTAGATGTTCAGTATGAAGCGAAACTCAGATCTCCCTTCGTAACTGTAGGGTTACGGTAGGAACTTTGAAGAAGGTTTTAAGCCAAGTCGCACTTCACCCCGGAGAGGGAACCAAAGAAGCCAGAAACTTGGATTCGATTTTTGTGTTTTCCAAATTTTCTAGATTCTTCTTCCAAACTCATTTGGAGCAAACCTTTTGCGACTCTTGGAATGCTGTCTTGTAGTTTTGCATGGGCCTATCAATTGATATGTTTTTAAGCTTTTATATCGTCTCTGGCAAAATAGTGACGATGATTAATTTTTTTTTATCAATAACCCAATAAGTTTGTGGCAGAGTCTCAGTGTGCCACTTGTGGTTGTATTTGTCAACGAACAGTGAGGTCAAAATCTACCTTGAGAGCATATCTTGAGGCAGATTCCAAAATCAAGGCAGTTGTTGTAATTCACAAAAACTTTGAAATCAAAATCTACCAGGATTTTACAAGATAGTTCACAAGTGCTTGCTCAAGATATACCATGACGGTATACGAAGTCTATCGCTGTCATTGATTATTTTATTTGCTAAACTAGCTGGCACCTCCCGGCTCTGTCAAAACACTTGATACAGGTTCCATCCCTATCCCTGTACAACCCTCCCCTGCCCACTTCTATATGCCAATTGTCTGTTTCCGCTGTGTTAGTAATCAGAATGCTCGAATACCCCCCCCCCCCCTGTGCACTCCAAGCCCCGTAGCTCGAACTTTGCAAGAAATCGATGAAATCGATAAAAATGACGGATGATCTAAAAAACTAATGCTGTAGTCATAATCAGCATGCTCGACTACCCCCTCTCCCCGTGCCAACTCCAAGCTCTGTAGCTAAAACTTTGCAAAAATCGATAAAATCGATAAAATGGATATCGGTTGACGATGAAAAGTAGCCTACGCACTCTAGCCCGCCCCGAAGTGTATGTCTGCCAAGTTCGGTCTGAATCGGTTCAGAAATGGAATTTTCTATCCAGAACATAAGTACAGACAGACAGGCAGACACAGACAGACACAGACAGACACAGACACAGACAGACACAGACAGACACAGACAGACACAGACAGACAGACAGACAGACACAGACAGACAGACAGACAGACACAGACAGACACAGACAGACAGGCGGACACAGACACAGACAGACACAGACAGACACAGACAGACACAGACAGACACAGACAGACAGACAGACAGACACAGACAGACACAGACAGACACAGACAGACACAGACACAGACAGACACAGACAGACAGACAGACACAGACAGACAGACAGACAGACAGACAGACATAGACAGACAGACAGACAGACACAGACAGATATACAGATAGACAGATAGACAGATAGACAGATAGACAGATAGACAGATAGACAGATGGACAGACGGACAGACATTCGGCCTTATATATAAGACTAGCTGGCTTACCCGGCTCCGCCGTATCCGGACCAAACTTGGCACACATACACTTCGGGCCCCGGCGGGTGTCACAGTCCACTTTTCGTTATCGATCGATGTCGATTTTACCGATTTTTATCGATTTTTTTGCAGAGTTCACCTACAGGGCTAGGAGTTGGCACAGGGGGGTAATCGAGCATGGGGATTCCGAATACAATATTAGTTTTCAGAATTATCGATTACTTTTATTGATTTTATCGATTTTTTTGTAAAGTTTGACATGCGAGGCTGGGATTTTGCACAGGGGGGTAATCGAGCATGCTAATTACGAACACAATATTAGTTTTCAGGATCGTCCATTACTTTTATCGATTTTATCGATTTTTTTGTAAAGTTTGACCTGCGGGGGGGGGGAGTTTGCACAGGGGGTAATCGAGCATGCAGATTACGAATACAGTATTAGTTTTCAAGATCGTCCATTACTTTTATCGATTTTATCGATTTTTTTGCAAAATTTGAGCTAGGGGGCTGGAATTTGGCACAGGGGTGTAATCGGGCATGCTGATCACCCCCCTTGGGGATGATCAGCATGCTCGATTACCCCCCTGTGCCAACTCCCAGCCCCCTAGCTCAAACTTTGCAAAAAAATCGATAAAATCGATAAAAGTAATCGATAATCCCGAAAACCAATATTGTATTCGGAATCCCCATGCTCGATTACCCCCCTGTGCGAACTCCCAGCCCCGTAGCTCAAACTTTGCAAAAAAATCGATAAAATCGATAAAAGTAATGGACGATCCTGAAAACTAATATTGTGTTCGTAATTAGCATGCTCGATTACCCCCCTGTGCCAACTCCCAGCCCCGTAGCTCAAACTTTGCAAAAAAATCGATAAAATCGATAAAAGTAATCGATAATCCTGAAAACCAATATTGTATTCGGAATCCCCATGCTCGATTACCCCCCTGTGCCAACTCCCAGCCCCATAGGTGAACTCAGCAAAAAAATCGATAAAAATCGATAAAATCGATATCGATCGATGACGAAAAGTAGCCTATGACACCCGCCGGGGCCCGTAGTGTATGTTTGCCAAGTTTGGTCCGGATCGGTTCAGAAATGGAATTTTCTATTCGGAACATACGTACACACAGACAGACAGACAGACATACAGACAGACATACAGACAGACAAACAGACATTCAGCTTTAAATATAAGATAAAATTTCTAATTTTTAAAATTTTTAGGCTGCCACGCTTTCCTGGGGTTATGCCACACCCCAGTAACTTACCCTCGAAAATAAAACTTCTATCGAGTAATATATACTTATTGCTTCAACCAGATCGGCTGCTGGAAGGCGGGCTTCATGACTCAGGGAGCTACTGCTCGCGTCCGCGACGCAGTCGCGCCTCCCTCGCGCACCTGCTCCTATCACTTTCTAGCCTTGAAAGAGGGGCTCGGCAGAATGATAACTTTGGGGTATTTATCGTTAACGGTTCCCCTGGATGAGCCAAGTCCAAGACTGTGCTTTGCAGCTTCAAAAGATATGAATAACTGGCTTTCTCGGACGTGAAAAATGCTGCATGGACGGGTCGCGAAAGTGGCTGCTGGAGCTAGTAATCCAAATGCCGCCAAGAAGGGTACGGTGTCTCCACTCACGAGCCAATCGCGCTTTAAAGAGCAGGCTTACGCCGTCAGCCCAAGTAGCGCTTTCGACGTCTGAAAAAGCAGGTTATTGATATCTTTTAAAGCTGCAAAGCACAGTTCTGGACTTGCCTCATCCATGGAGAAGGAGAACGATGAATATCCCAACGTTGTCATTCTGCCGAGCCGCTGCCTTGTCACTAGCCCGCCCATCAGCCGTCGATCTGGTTGAAGCAAAGGGTATATCGTTATCGTTCGTTCGATAGCCTGACTGTCTAGTTTTCACAGAAGGTTGAATAATACATCTTCTTTAGTCTGAATAATTGCTGAAAGCAGAACCACTGCAAGCAAGAATTCAGCTAAGCAAGATTTTGGCTGCTTCCAATTTCATTGTTTAGAGGTTATTCGATGTACAATTTCTAGCGTATAGCGTATACTAGTAAGGAGTGGTGCTCTATACTGAGTGCGA